TAGGATAGCTCTGAATTATAACAAAAGATTGTTGAATTTTTATTTAATAGTGCAAAACTTGGATTTACACGTGTTTGGTTAAAGAATGAACTTTGTGGTGGTGCGGCAATAATTTGTTCAACCACTGTATATCGATGGCTGAGTGGAAGATCGACCTATCTCGGCAGCCAGTACGAAAACGCCCAATCTCAGAAAAATTTTCAACTACGCTCTATCTCAGAAAATCTTTCAAGAACGCCCTACTTTAGAATGAGAAATGATTGCATAAACTACTAGTTGCAATCTCACCATTCCCATAGGAACTAGTCCTTCGATAGTTTCAAAAAAGCGAATTTTCTGTAATGTTTGCATGAAAATAATCCGACAATATTTCTGCATTGCATTTTCGTTTTTTTTTCTGTTTTTAACTCTATTTCCTTGCGAAATTGCATTCCATGAATAGATATTTTCATTAAAAATTGTTATTTTTTTTGCACCTAACCTCCGGTAAGCCTTTTAATTTGGTGCGATGTCTATTATATTTACATGCATGCGCATAAAAATCGCACATGCACGAATATTAGTTTATTTACTCTCAATCTACATATTTTATTTCCTTGCATAAAATCAATTTGAATGCATTGATGATCCGCAGTTACCATGTTTTTGTTACATAAATGCCGGTATTTTTCACTTGAATTTCAAATTTACTCAACTGCGTGAACAAAAAGAAGAACAAAAAAAAAAAAAAAAAACAATTGAAAAATTCAAAATATGTAAATAAATACACACATGAGCAATCGCATAAAAAAGCCTCAAAACTCTGAAAGGCGCTTACATAAATTTACACATTGTCAGTTCGTTAGAGTTGTTATTATTTAACTGACAAAAACTATTCAATTTGTTATTTAAAATTTTTTATTTTTTTTTTATTTTATTGTTAATTTTTCTTTCAAAAGCACTTTATCATGGCACTGGAATTGCCGCTATGTGGAAAAACACACACACGCATATGTGCATATACATACATCTATCGAACATGAAATATTTGAGTACTAGATCGGGAAAAGTTATGACCGAATTCAGTGCAGAGAAAGCTAAATAAATTTTAATCTAGTACATAGTAATAATATAAAAAGATAAGTAATACTTATTTGGAAGAATTCTTATTTTTATGTAGAATTTAATGAAACATCCATAAAGAGTTTTCAAGTGATGCTCAACTTGACGGAGGTTTGACCGAAAAATGAGCAAATATGCCCAGAAAACTATAAATGCTAACACTCATGAGCAATAAATATTGCTACTTGTTTTCATTCTTTGTTTCTAAAATATACGTAGTATAGTTGCCACCAGTTTAAAGAGTCAATTTAATTTAATTATCCCACGTCTATGCCTACTATGGGCACTCGTATGCTGACTGTCATTGTTGTCGCATACGAAATCTTGTCGCAGAGAGATTTTTGTAAATGGGCATTTCACGCATACCATTTCAGTGTGAATATATTGTTTATATTTAGAAAAAAATTTTGCGAATATTTTCTTTCTTAGTTGTGAATGTCTACAGACGGTTATCACGGTTAGGGGGTTTAACAGAATGGCGATCATTGTTCAAATGTTCGGTGGAAAGTCCCTATAAGAAATCAAAGAGATGATTCTATTTTTTCACTTATTATGAATCCTTTTGGCGGGAGCTTTCCCCTAGTTCCCCTTCGTATCTCCGCGCTCAACCCATTACTGTTTAATGTTCATATAAGGTTGACAAATATTCAAGTAAATACTAACTAATTTGAATTTTATTTTATACGAAATTCATCACTTCCAAAACTTCAGTTTTCCCATTTCTAAATAAAGTTCTTCAGGTATGAATTTTTGGAATATAAGATTTTGCATTTTGAATTTTCAAAAACTTGTTTGAAATTTGTAATGAGCGAACTTAAGAACCTCTAAATACCAAATCTCATGGAAACTCAGTAATTTTTTTAATTCTTGGACGCCATATTGTACTCGTTATTGGATTTTTGAAAATTTACTTCAGCTTTGTTAAGACACATAATAATTTTTGGGTTGAAAATTTTTCAGTCATTGAGAATTTTCACAGCGGACCTTTAAGTGACTAGTCCACTACATATTCACGGTCTTAGCTTGGAGAATGAAGGAATTTTAAAGAAACACTTTATATATGAATAATCAGTTATAAGCTACAATGACCTGATCGTGACAATTTGGACTGTAAACTTTATTTCACCGTCCGAGAAAAGAGATGAAAATTTTATATTCATCGCTGTTTAAGTGGAGCTGCCTAAATGTATTGGTTTATATCTGAAAAGTATAGCTCATCATTAGCACCATGCTGTTACAACCGGGTGACAACAGAACACTCAACCTGGCTAAATGTTTGCTTTTACTAGGGCTGTTTTATTTTGCAAAGAGTGCTGAAAAAGTTTTACAATACAGTTTTTTTTTTAATCTTTTATAAAAAAAGTCCGACCATAATCAATGCCTTCCCCCATCCGCCGAAACCACTGCTTAAACCAGCAAATCATTTTACTGAATCAAATATCTAAGGTAAATAAAAATTTCATAAATAATAATTTCCAAAGTACCTTACTAAGACGACCTCGTTCACAATAGAGACATTTTCTTCCTTTACAACGTATTATAACAAGACGCCAGTATACCAATTTTCAGACGATTATCTCTAAAACTGAGGGACCAGTTTGCTTTCAAACAGATAGACAGACCGACATACCGCTGATATGGACATTCATAAGCTGAGCTCGTCATTTTAGTTAAATTTTTTTTGATGAGAATATCTCTTCTTCTTCTTACACTTAGAAACATTGGACACAAGTTTGAATACCATTTAATTTAAACATGTTAAAGTCTTGTATAAAAGTATCGCAAATTCTCTAAAATATCTACTATGTAGTATAAGCGTATGTGCAGTACTCAGCGCAATATTATTCCATCCATGCGTTCACAATAATCCAATAAAATTGAAGCGTTTCTTTTCTATTCAATTTTGGTTAGGAAGCATTACCTATAGTTTGTTTTTCCAATATATCGGTTTCAATTATACACATGTTATCGAAATACCAAAGTGTTTGGCAAAATACGAATTGCTTCGCAAACGAGCATCTCCCACATTTTTTGTTTTCAAATGTTGGTCAAATGAATTACCTTCTCTGATATTTTCTGCCTTATGGCCATTTTATTTGTTCACGCGTATGACTATAAACCTAATTCTTTGTTCGAATCCATTTAAATGTTAAAAGTATAAGCTTACATATTTCTTTTTCGCCATTCAACAATAAATAAATAAATATGCAAATGNATTTTCTTTCCTCAACGTTTAAGACATTGTGATTTAAATAATATCAACAAAATTTCTGTGAAAAACCGAAACCGGAACGAAACCGAAACCAAAACCGAAATAAATTTTGAAGAACGAAACCAAAACCGAAACCGAAACACTTGGCAAAACCGAAACCCAAACCGGAACGTTATTTTGAATCGGTTTCATTCCTTGGGAACGCCCCCTTTTGCAAATGTGTAAATATGTACATAGGTGCGTAAAGTGACTGTTTGACAGGTTGAAAAGCGTTTTTTGAATACATATTTGTTTCTTAGTATTTTTCAAAGCAGACCGTCAGCTCAAATGAAAGCTAAAATATACTTAAAAATGCGAGAATTAGCAGAAAATCCAAGTTAATACAGTTAGTGTATGAAATTTTATTTTTTATTTGTTTTAAGTATTTTGTCATACATTTTAGTATAAAATCTTCGATCCCTCGGTAACACTGAAGTTTACGAGGTCGTTTGCGCATAAAATATGCCTCGTAAATTTACGAGGGGCTCATAAGAAGAGCACCATACAAATTTTGACAGTTCTTTTACGAGGCTCTTACGAGGTTTAAGAGGATTTTATGCGTTGATGGGAAGACGCCTATCGTTTCAATCATTTACAGGGTTTTCATATAAATAAAATACAAATAAACAAGTATATAAAACAAAAACTTTAACAAATTCATAAATATAAAAATATGTATTTATGTACGATAAGTAAACACTTACACTGAAATGCAAAAGGTCATAACCAATAAAAAATTCAAAATTCACTTTTTGATTTATATGATGATGATGATCGAATTACAACTCCCCACATCGTTTTAGGAAAAAATAATAATAATTAGTCACGACTTTTCCCATTTCAGTTGCAATGTTGTTAGGTCATTTTACATTTCAGGTGACGATATTGCTTTGCAAAAACATTAAATTAGAAAGCTGGTTTGATTTTGAAAGCGTTCTACACTAGTTAGGTAGTTTCTCTACTCTGAAAAAAACTCGTTTGCACTCGTTGGAACTGAAGTAGCAACAATGCAAAAGCGTTTTAAAACGTATCTGTAAAAATTGAGCTACACGCCATACGTTCGTGCCAAGTAGATTTGGGCCGTGATCCAAAATTAAATTATATTTAGTATTCAAAAATTTAGTTCAATGGGAAGACCAAACATTGCGATGAACTAGTTCTTTAGTTCATTTAGTTCAAGAACTACCCAAGCCTACGCCGTAGTGTATTACTGAGACTTCAAAGTTTAACTTTCTCTTTAGGTGTGAAATAATTAATTATACAAGAGTAAATAGTAGGTTTCACTCTCAACTAGACATTCTTTAAATTGTACGGCATTCCAGTAGTTACATAGTTTAGTTTCGAAATGGAATTACCCTCAATTTTAATGTTACTTCGCAAGTCATACAAAATACTTAACAAAACAATTGGATTCACAGAACATTAACCAAACAACATAATTTTTAAATTTTCCCAATTTTTAATTCTAAGCATTTTTGCATCTGATTAATAAATATCGTCGTCATTCGAAAGTAGTGTCTACTTATTATCGAGTCATACGGATTACCTTATCCTTAAGTGTGTGCAATTAATTTTAGGCTTCAAAATAAAAGTTTCAAAAGTTTTAAATAAATTTCAAGAAATAAAAAAAAATTTATACCACTTAGCATCAAATTATAGATATTTTAAATATGTTCAACCCAAGCACTGTGCGTTGAGCCTCGAGGGCCGCTGGCTCTTTTTCCAGGGGTTGTGGCAAATTCGCTTTTTGTGCAGACAATCGCATCGCATCGGTTTGTGGCACAACAATATTCGGGCGCTGCATCCAGGCGCTCTTTTGAAGCGCAAAAAGTCGTTGCAGCGCCAGCGTCGATGTTGAAGGCTCCATTTCCCGCGCCTGGATCGTCGTGCCATCGGTGTTGTGTATGAATCCACCTACCCATTCACCATTTTTTGAGTACTCGTAAGTGATTTGCTCGTCACAGAGTAGATTTCGTGGTATCGGACTTAGGGAACCATACATAGTATGATGGTTCAACAGGAGTGGAGGCTCGCCAGCTTCTCCCTGCTCACTTTCCGAATCCGGTGGAAATTGAAAATAATCACTAAGGGGTAATAAGAATTCTTCTACACTGGAAATCGGATTAAAGCTGCTAATTTCGATGTTAATCCCAGCTGGTTTTAAGCGAGTTGAAGTCGTAGATTCTGCTGTCGTTGTTTGCGTTTCGCGCGCAGTACNGTGTTGTGTATGAATCCACCTACCCATTCACCATTTTTTGAGTACTCGTATGTGATTTGCTCGTCACAGAGTAGATTTCGTGGTATCGGACTTAGGGAACCATGCATAGTATGATGGTCCAACAGGAGTGGTGGTGGCTCGCCAGCTTCTCCCTGCTCACTTTCCGAATCCGGGGGAAATTGAAAATAATCACTAAGGGGTAATAAGAATTCTTCTACACTGGAAATCGGATTAAAGCTGCTAACTTCGATGTTGTTATTTTCAAGAGCATCGTTGTTGTATCGAGAATTAATCCCAGCTGGTTTTAGGCGAGTTGAAGTCGCAGATTCTGCTGTCGTTATTTGCCTTTCGCGCGCAGTAGTAGTAGTACTTGTCCATGGATTCCATATACTATTCTCTGTCTGGCACGGTGTATATTCACTTGTTTTTTCGCGCTCACTACCAGGTTTATTGCAAAAAGACGCCTTGCTTTCAATTTCAACGGGCGACGACTGTTCGCATGGTAATAGTTGTGTAGCCAAAGACATTCGTTGACGTATGCGCGGTGGGGATGTAGAGTTTATCTCCGTGGGGCTAGGCACTTGCAAGCGTGGTCTTCGCATTTTTCACTTACTTATTTCCAATAGAAGCAATGGTCAAAAGCTTGAATTTTTTCCTCACTGTTTACTTAATTTCGTCACAGCTGCGATTTGTTTTCGAACTCTCTCTTGTTTTTTTTTTCAGCCTTTTATTTTTGCTTTTCGCGCTTAAATTTAATTACATTTAATACATCATAACCGGTTTTATGTACACGGGTGAGTGTGTACATATCGCACACTAAGTGCAAAACAGCCACAACTCAAAAATCAGAAAACTTCAACTGAGCCAAAACACCTGCTGAGCATGCTGAAGCAGCAGCATTTACAACAAAAAAGACCAAAGTGTATTTTTCGGAAGGTGCCAAAGGAATACTACAGATATTTTTACAGTAATAACTGGGGTGGTATGCATTATCAATTAATATAGNTTTTCACTTACTTATTTCCAATAGAAGCAATGGTCAAAAGCTTGAATTTTCTCCTCACTGTTTACTTAATTTCATCACAGCTGCGATTTGTTTTCGAACTCTCTCTTGTTTTTTTTTTCAGCCTTCTATTTTTGCTTTTCGCGCTTAAATTTAATTACATTTAATACTTCATAACCGGTTTTATGTACACGGGTGAGTGTGTACATATCGCACACTAAGTGCAAAACAGCCACAACTCAGAAATCAGAAAACTTCAGCTGAGCCAAAACACCTGCTGAGCATGCTGAAGCAGCAGCATTTACAACAAAAAAGACCAAAGTGTATTTTTCGGAAAATGCCAAAGGACTATCTACACATATTTTTACAGTAATAATTAGTGGTATGCATTATCAATTAATATACGGCAAAGAGTCGATATTCGAAAGTTTTGAGTTGTGACTCTTTTGTATTTAGTGCCATATGTACGAGTATGTAGACACGATTAGTTACATATTTCATTTTAGTTCCTACATTTTCTCTTCCACTATTTTCCGTTCTTATGCTATGAAACCCAGCAGTGAGTTTGGTGGAAAGCAGTTAGTATAAGTACATGCAAATACTTTTATTTAGGTATCTACCCTAAAAACAAGTTCTTTGAGTCATAATTTTGTACTTGAGTGTTAACAAGAGAGAGAATTGAGTTCGGGCTTATACAAAAAATATAATCCAAAAGTGGCACTGAAGGTATTGGAGATAATCATCACTTTGCGCTCGGCGTATCATGTCACTAGGGATGGTAATTTAGACAGCCGACCATTTGGCTAGGGAGGGTTCAGACTGCGTATTATTTATTAGTATGAGAAGATACAAAACTAATTTGAGGAGATTCTCTAACGGTATGTTTGATGTTCATACCTACATATGTCATGTTTGAATATTTTTACATATGCTTTGAAATAGAAATAAATTCAATGCCTTACAGCTGGTATAATTCTGATCACAATCCAACTACTTAGTAACTAAATTGAANTTAGTATAAGTACATGCAAATACTTTTATTTAGGTATCTACCCTAAAAACGAGTTCTTTGAGTCATAATTTTGTACTTGAGTGTTAACAAGAGAGAGAATTGAGTTCGGGCTTATACATAATCTAATCCAAAAGTGGTACTGTCATTTATGTTGAAGTTATTGGAGATAATCATCACTTTGCGCTCGGCGTATCATGTCACTAGGGATGGTAATTAGACAGCAGACCATTTGGCTAGGGAGGGTTCAGACTGCGTATTATTTATTAGTATGAGAAGATACAAAACCAATTTGAGGAGATTCTCTAACGGTATGTTTGATGTTCATACCTACATATGTCATGTTTGATTACTTTTACATAAGCTTTGAAGTAGAAATAAATTCAATGCCTTACAGCTGGTATAATTCTGATCACCATCCAACTACTTAGTAACTAAATTGATGTTCTACACCGGCATTATCTTCTGATTATTGGGAGCTTTCACTGCAGGAATTGTATAAAGAATGACGAGTAGATGATGCACGTATGTACAGGTATGTACATACATATGTATGCTTTTTTCTATCAGTGATGGTATTTCAAAATCTCAAGTGTGTGGAATTTTGTCCAAAAATGTACCAATACGGTAATGGAAAATCCTAAAAGTAAAAACAAGCTCGAATACATAAAAAAAAAAGTGACAAGTAATTTTTAAGCAAAAATCAAAGCCGACTTTGATTGTTATATAAAAATTTAGGTGATCCATTTATCGGATCTAAACCAGATTAGTATGGGACCACTCTTGAGGTACCCCCTTTCTGATTAAAAATAAATCGGTTAACGTGGTCCAAAGTTATGCGGTAACATACATAAGAAAAACGAAATCAAAAATATTCCAACGAATTGATAACCTTTCTCGTGTTTGCGAAGTCGGCCAAAAACAAAGAACTAGAAGTAACTTCGTGTAGCTTCNTATGTACAGGTATGTACATACATATGTATGCTTTTTTCTATCAGTGATGGTATTTCAAAATCTCAAGCGTGTGGAATTTTGTCCAAAAATGTACCAATACGGTAATGGAAAATCCTAAAAGTAAAAACAAGCTCGAATACATAAAAAAAAAGTGACAAGTAATTTTTAAGCAAAAATCAAAGCCGACTTTGATTGTCATATAAAAATTTAGGTGATCCATTTATCGGATCTAAACCAGATTAGTATGGGACCACTCTTGAGGTACCTCCCTTCTGATGAAAAATTAATCGGTTAACGTGGTCCAAAGTTATGCGGTAACATACATAAGAAAAACGAAATCAAAAATATTCCAACGAATTGATAAGCTTTCTCGTGTTTGCGAAGTCGGCCAAAAACAAAGAACTAGAAGTAACTTCGTGTAGCTTGTGCGCTTTCTATACTAGTTTTGAAACAAATTTTCATTTCATAATAAAAACATACATTTTAAGTTAAAATTTTTAACTAAGTTCATTCAGTTTGTACATACGTATGTATATACCAGTGTGGCCAGGTTAGCCATTTTGATGATAGATTTAGCATTTATGGCATTTTATGCCGTAGCCTCAGAAATTTAGATCTGACTTCGTGAATTTTTTTTGGCCTTTTCTTACTTAAATTATTCATAATAAAATTCGAATCAGAACTATGAAAATAAGTACCTGAGCTTAATAAAAACTTTAATATTTCTCTAAACTGTATTTTTAGCAATTTGATTTCTTGGCATACTTCTTGTGTTCTCTGATGTAGAAAATTTTTGCATTTCTCTTACCCTAAACTGAACTTCTTTTTTCATATAAGTATTGAAGTTATGTTGCCGTTATTGGCCTGATAGAAGCTATTTTGTGTTTTGATGGGAATGATTTAAAAAATTATTTCCAAAAAATCGATTTTGTGAAGCTTATCGAGTTTTTAAGGATTTAATATACTCTCTTCTTATAAGCTTCAATTTTCATTGCGTACAACTTTTTCTAAACTTTTTTAAAAACGAATTTAGCTTCACTTTTTGCGATCATCTGCTCACACTGGTGCATACTAAATATTTTCTCAGTAGCTTATTTTCTTTTACATTATTATTTTATATTCATTACATATGTATGTATGTATCATTGGCACAATCCTTTATTAATGAACATGGCGAACGATTCCACCAGGACAAAGCCACTCTATGCAGAAGTAATATGATAGGAAGTCAAACCTCCACATGCTTGCTAACTATTGATGGACCTTGAAACGCGATAATAATGCGATCCACAAAAAAAATGTTTGAGGATTCCATTGCAGAACGCGCAAAGTGCTAAGCGACAAAAGACTGGCTAGTGATGAATCTGGGACATTGACTTTTTAATGTTGATTTGTTCATGAAATTATTTTATTTTTAAAATATCTAATCAACTCATCGACATGAGGTAGAATCCATCCGACGAATTGGATTTTCAATAATATTTCGGAAAACCAAAGTCCAAATTATATTTTAATTTATTTTTTATTTTTTTTGTTTTAAATTTTTTTTGACACTTCAGCAGTTTTTTAGTTCAGATAAAATTACTGTTGATTTTTTAGAATTTTTTTTTGAGATGTGTGTTGTGTTGCGTATTTTCTTCCATATAACATATGACCAAAATCTATTTTTATGTGGAAAAAAATGCGCAACACTCTTTACAAACAAAAAAAATCTAAAAAATATACTCTAAAATTGCATTGGCTACAAAACTGCATATCGAAAATTTTCTAAAGACTCCGAATAAAAAATGTGTAATTTTAATGAAAATTGTTTGAATATTTGTGATCTTAATATAAAGTGTGAAACTTTGGCTTACATAGTTTACGTTATAGAATTAACTATATTATCATAAAAATTAATAAAGAAAATTTTCATTGAAATATTTGTGAATATTATATTAGAACGAGGTGTATACTAACATTTGACACTGACTGTATATATACATATGTAGCTAATCTTACCTGCGCAATTTCGAAACGGCGTTGATACATTTATCATAGCTGTCAACTCTATCAATTGTATGATCATCATCGCCATCGTCGAATAAGCCTTCAAAGAATTCTATAAGAAAATATAAATTTTTCTTACATGTACATATGTATTTATACCACTTTTTTTCTCACTTTTAATAAGGAACACTAAGATGCACAATATAATATATAGTGCTTCCATGGCGAAAGTTGTTTTAAAAATGCACATTTTGATATTTTTGCAGTTTGCATGACTTCAAGCGCACTGATTTCATTTCTGATATTTCAGGTTTTCGCGACTTCTCCTTTTGTTCTATTTTCACGAACATACATATCAGGGATGGAAAAATAGGGAGCACTTTGCCTTTTCCCACACTTCTTACCTTACTCACCACTTTAGGTACCACCCGTCTATTTTGGCCTACCTCTAGACGAAAGTCGGAGAGTGTTATTTGTATTATGTTCTTAGTGCCAGTAAACGTTTTGGTAAACCAATTAATATTTTCAAATTTGGTAATTCAATGGGTAAAAAATGTAGAAGAAGTTTTCAAAAATTACCCCTGTTTGCTTTAAGGCACAGGCGAAGTCATATTTGAACGTCGAGTAGATATTGGAAATTATAATTT